AATGCTGCTCCTCTTGAGTTGTTCGAGTTGTCGGATGATTCTGGTGATTGGAACATCACTAGCAACTGACTCTCGTACGAACCACGTATATTAGCTAAACTTATGGATTGACGCATAGATCATCTATGATAGATGGCGCTCCGATCAGCGAACTGCCTACCAAACTTGTTTCCTGTTAGGCACTGCCAGGTGCATCTAGCACTTGGAGATCGTCTCCCGGTGCTAGTGATTCCCGATATTGTAGATGCAGACTCCATAAGTTTCCCAGCGGTCAACTCAACATCACGATGAGGCTTCTGATCCATCAACAAGTTGATAAACATCTGTATTATTCCATGCAGTATGTTAATGATGATTTAGAAAGTATCGTAACGACAAGTTGTCGTCGACAACTAATGAGATCATACAGGTCAGCTCCGCATGTCATTGCATCATTTTAGGCGCCTGGATAACCTTTTGCGTGCACTATGTATAGGCTTCAGAGGTCGAAGGAATCGCTTCTGTTCTTTTACTCTCTCGAAGTCTGCCACCAAGTCATCCACTACATGGCTCAGTCCGATAGCGTTCGCCATCTGAATAAGCTGCCGTATGGTTGCACTCTTCAGTACTCCTATCTCACGGCATATCATCTTTTTCCGATTCTCTCCACGGATCGCAGCAGATATCGCAGACTTCAGTTGTGCTCTCCCAGCCTCTCCTAGCTGAGGTACTCCATCACGCAACTTCGACTTCGGTTGCTTTCGAAGGGGTTTTTTAATCTTAAGACTACGTGGCTTCCACTGAGTTCCGTTGTGGATCATGGTATTACAAAGCTCCAGGCTGTCATCGTGACCATGAGACGGCGACTCCCTCACGTTACCTTCCGAGGAGAAGTCAATTAACGGCAATACACCCGTGAACATCAGAGTGCTCCTCGACGTAGCTGATGACGGAGTCCAGTCCCATGCATTAAAGAGAGGGTCGTTCCGGCTCAATTCAGAATCGCCAGATGCTGCCATTGTCGCCAAGTGTCCAATAGTCTGATCAAATTCTTCTGAGACCTGCATCATCTCTTCTTCTTCGTCCTCGGACTTATTGTCATGCCGCGAGTCAAGTATCAAAAGGTGGAGTTTTGTTGGTGACTCCATAGTGCGCAGTGCGAGGAAAGCTCGAGTGACCGAGGCAAGCGTGCGTGTACCTCGCGCGAGCCCGAGTAATCGATCTCAAGATAGTACCACCACCACCGCTATCGTCATATTCTTGGCAGAAGCTACCATCCTCTCCGGAGTGACTGACTCCCTCACTGTAGCGGATGTTCTCAGCATCGCCTTGAGCTGCAAGAAGGTCTACAATCGATTGAATCGTGATGGTTTACTTAAAGTCGGAAATGTCAGTCTAGGACTCGCACATTGCTGTCAGAGCATACTCTATTCCATTGACACGTCGAGTGTTCGGAGGGTGAGGATCTACCTGGATTACTATGTTGATAAGACTACGGAGGCAGAGTGTCTGATCGATGGCTTGGAACGGTTAACTCTCGTTTCGGAGCTCTTCTTGAAGTTCAATGCTAGACGGATGGGTTCCGCTGACCTTGCTATGAGCATCTCAACGATGTTCTCGGGTCTTACTAGGTTGGATCTCATTTGTAGTCCCAAGGATAACTCTATACAGCGGAGAGGTACATTGAAGGCGGAGTCGACTATGAAGTCACTGGATGCTTTGATGAAGAGAAATAAGCACTCTCTTCTCGTCCTCAATCTGCGTTGCGACCCCGATCTTCGAGTGCTATCCATTCCCCTGATGCCGAGGTTGAGTACTTTACACCTCCGGGGCCGCATAAGCAAGAGTGCTTGCCTCTCGATAGTCCGCAGTACTCATCTGGAGACCTTCTGCTATCTGCGTGAGGATACTGATCCAATTATCTGGGCCACTGATGATGTGGATCATGTCTTCCACTCGATGCCGTTGTCCACGTTCAGGTGCTTAACACTATCCTCAGTGAGGTCACCGGCGAATCTTCTTTGGTGTATGTCTCGTATGCTGGAGAATGCCGGCATATTGTGGTTAGTGAGGCCTACTAGTATAGACCTTGTAGACGGAGTCATCTATGGATCACAGATTATAATACTGAACATTGCTAAGTATAGCACGGCATGTGCAGCCCTACTGGACAAAATTTCCGTTGTTGATGACGTATTCTCCGTATTATGTCGTCTTTTCGAGGGTGTCCCGTATAATGCCGTAGGTAGACTATGGAGTTCAGACATGACTGAGAAGGATCGGGAAAGGTGGCGAGATGAGGTAATCCCAGTAATACGTCGAGCGATAGCAACACACAAGGCGGCAGCGAAGCTGGCATAATGTCAAGCTCCAGGATCTGGGTATTCCAACACCACCTTATCAACTTGTAATTTCACATTGTTTTTACTTTAGTAGCGGTTGAGTTGTCATAAGCAGTTAGGATAAGATACGGGTCCTCATGTGTAGAGGGGGCTCTCCCTGGCCATTAATGGGCGAGAGGCTTGAACTCAACACACAAGGGTGTACAAGCTCCTGTACAGGAGCTCAAAGTTGTTCACCAATTTCCGGAACTCCCTTTACTATCAAGGAAGGGAAATGCCAGGATTGTGGATGGGCAATGCACGCGTAAGATCCTTTTGGATAACAAAAAGGCGGCACAGCAATCGAGCAATAGGCCCTAATAGCCTTCTTCGGGAAATATGCGCAAGCTTCTTGATTCTTCTCGGGGAAGCTCCGTCACCAAGCTCGCCAAAGAAATGACGGCCTTCATGGGCCAATGTTAACGGGATCACCGGGTCATCAATATCGTACGGACTGACTCCAAGATCGACAGTCCAGAGCTCGATGATGTTACACACACAACGAGAAGCCAGCCTTTGGAGCTTCAACTGGAGCTGCTTCAGTCAAGCATGAGTAGCAAACGATGAAGATCATCTCGAAGTGAATAAATCGATTTTGGACAGTTTTGGGTCGATTCCCGGAGACCTGACACTAGTGCTGTTAACGACACAACATACCTCTTCATCCCGAGTATAATACTTACGGCCTAGACCAACGATACCAAGTTACGCGAGTACGGTTCAATACTCAAATAACGGGCGAAGGAAGAACGAGCCAGGACGGAAGAACTAAGCATCCGCATTTGTCTGCTTTAACATCTCTCGTCAAGAATTTGCCTCTTTCAACTACCGATATTGGCGAACTGCTATCAAACCGAGTGCAAATCGGCCTCCAAATTCGATAGAGTTAAAGTAGGGAAGACTGACGTTTTGTATACAATACAGCGGGATTTGCGATAAGCACCCTCAACCTTAACGAGTTCCCTCAGGGGCATCTTCAGCGATCACGGGAACATTGAACCTTACGCTTGCTGGCGACTTCATGATCCTCATCACCGGCGGCTTTGGTGGATAGTAAAAACCTGGAACCTTGACAAGATCAGAGTAGACAGCCTGACCCATGACTAAGAGAACAAAACCGAAGAGCTGGAGCCAAGACCATGTAGTCCACACTTCACCAAAGTTAGAGCCGGGAGCCACGAAATACTGGATGATCAGATCACATATCCAGATGACAGCAGTTCTAGTAGCTTCTAGCATTGTTCTATGTACTGCAGATAGTGCGTATGTGACCAACATTCCAGCCATGTTGTAGGTGAAAACCGAGACAACGTAAACACCAACCATTATCTGTAGATTCTTATTGTTCTCAATCATGACCATAGTATCCAAAGTATTTTCAGCGGACCCTTCATCCTTACCGGGGATAAAATACAACAATGGGAAAATGAAAATGAACAGAATGAGGGTACCCCAGACACCTTCCATACCAACAATATGGAACGGAGCGATAGTGAACCCTTTCAACAGCTTCTCCTCAGTGACGATTTGTAGAGATTGAATGACTTGCGAGGCAACAATCATAACCATACCGAATACCATCAGACCAGTACTAACATGTGACGTAGCGGAAGAACCGGACATGACATTGGCGATGCCTACCAAGCAAATGGCGACCACACACATGAAGACTCCGAACCAATGATAGCCGTGTAGTTTCCTACCAAGGAAAAGAACGGAAAAGATAGCGGAAAAAATGATCATAGACCCTCTCAACATCTGCCATACAGATGCCGAATTATACAACAATCCCACAAAGGACATAGTCGTGGCGATCAAATCAAAAGCGGCAGGGGCCAATATCAATAAACCAGCTCTCCAAAAGCTAGGAACATCCTTCCCACCAGAGTTCTGCCGCTGTTGATGTGGCTGCTCCAACAAGGCTTCATAAGCTTCACCACGGTGCCCCCTCGCTCTCATACGATCAATCAAGACGTCAATAAAGTGGATTACTAGAACGATAACCATACCCATGAACATGGTTAATGTTCCGAACCAGGGCTTCATAAAGTGCTTAACATCTCCATTGATACCGACCGAAGTCATTTCGAACTGCAGCTTAGTACACATAGTGTTGAGGGAGCCGAATATCAGAAGGCCCAGGATGTACAGAGTAGTCTTCCCACAAAAAGCCATAGTTACCTCAGAAGTAAAGAAGATATCCCACGAGGAAAGTGGTAAAAAACTGATCATCATATGCGAACTAGGTATCAATCAACGTCAACACAACCGCGAAATTATATACTCCTACCAAATCAAGTCCGAGCATGCCACAGCAGAAAGAGAAAGATACTACGGATCGAGAACGAACACCCATTATGCACACTCTCTATTGTACTCACCATCTCTTCAGGTGGATTAAGTGTTTACCCGCCCGATAAAGATCTACCCATTTCAATCAGCTTACCAATCCCATAGTTGTATGTATAAATAACTCTATGAAGATCCACATGAGATGCAGAAGGCGAATCATTCGGCGGCAAGTAGTTCTCTAACGCCATGTAATTGTGCTGGTGACAGTGTCACCGTGACATGACCATAGTGACGTGAGTTTACCGAACGAATCCAATGTTATCCATCTATGCCAGGAATCTCTCCTGGTTATGGTACAAGCAATGACGAAGACGACGTACATAAGTAGGGTGATAAGTACCTTGTAGTGCGCTCCAGTTCTGTCGTACTAGGCCTGTATGCTGCGTCGAGGTGGGGATTGCGGAATAGCAAGTGCGCAAGATCTACGACTTGCACCCATGTGGACAACACCACCCGAGTTGGGAAAATTCGACCCATGAAGATAATGATACAACGTAACGGTTGTTGGTCATTAGACCTTCTTAGGAAGGGTGAGATGCCACATTTGCTCGTCTCGTCACCCAAACGAAGAGGACCTTTTTGCTTGGTACAGGAATCAAGCCTTAGAGATAGATTGCCTCTCCAATGGGGGGACTAGAAAGGCCTCCTCTTGAGTGTGAAGGGTCGTCTTGGATATAACACCTGGAAAGTCCCCTGTGTCCAAGCCGTTGAGGCGACAAAGCAAGTTCCCCAAATACCGGGAGCATCCACGGTGTTAATGAGGATGATGTCACCCATTGTGTACCAATTGAGGCTCATGATGATGTTGGTAGTAGTAGAAGTTGCCGTTTTCGTGACATTGTCCTGTTATGGCACGTGTTGGTATATCGAACTTCCACCCATCGGATGCGAGAACACCTGCTAATAAGGATATGCTATGGAGGGAAGTAGGCATGTGTGATTGAAGTAGAAGTTCACATTTCCCCCACAGATATGTGATCGAGGCTGCTGGCCACATAGATACCATCCCCTTAGCGATGTGGGGGCAACAATCTATAATGCATACAGGTACAACACAAAACTATAGGAGGTTGCCGAGGTTGCTGCCAGGCACCCACTTATTGACTGCGGCCTAATGAGGAGTAGGAAACGCTTTAACAGACCCCACTCTACACCCCAGCAGACCAGGGGACAACGACAGGGCCTTGACGAGATTCGATTACTAGGGTTGGCTGGCATGACCAATAGTTCGTCGAAGAGAGTGAAGCAGTCCCCTTATGGTGAGACGTCGACTTCGTGGAACGATAATGTATTGTCTCGAAGCAGGAACATTCTATGATAGCTATATTAGAGCCGTGTGCCATACTTACGAAGGGGCTGCTGGGAAGGCAAGGTAACAACTTGGCAGCATTGACAAAGCTTTCCGGAACCTAGTCCGTATTACCATACAGGCACATATATGGACGAACAAGCATGTCCAACTATCATAGATCACTTACGAACAACAATGGGAAGTGAGATGATTATAGGTATCGAGGCAATACAAGTTCCATCTATGTTAGGTTATATTCAAACTCGAAATATTCACCTCAAGCATGATGAACACATGATGTTGATGTAATTACTGATCACGTTGTCCCCAGGAATTGGTTGTGGTGGTGTTCTGTTCCTAATATGAGAGATAACAATAATCCAGATATCAACCACAGGATACACACGACAATAACAAAATACAATATACAAATTAATGGCGACATGTGATGAAACAGATGGAGGCCTTTCACGAGTATGGGCTAGATGAGGGAGCAGCCTTCTCCTACACTTGGTATATCAACATCGAGCTGTACCTTGGCCAGCCTGAGATATCACCGTGATACCCTAGCTACTCGTAATAATATTATGAGGAGCTAGAGTAGTCGACCTCTTTGCTATAGTAGCATCCTATTGGGAAAGATTCAACACAACACGAGCTAGACATAGAGAAACCGATAGAGATGCAGCTGAGAACTCAGTTCTGAGCTTCAACAGGCTTATGCTTCACAGTGGTAAGTAGTGTACCTTAAAACACGCCACGTGCTGGTATAGGAGGAGTCGAAAGAGAAAACTCACGTTCTAGTTCCTTGTCAGTAACGAGATGGTTGATACGGATATCGACGCAAGTGTTTCGGACGGCGGCCACCTAAGACCCGCAATAATATTCTAGTATATTCCAGATGAATGGCTATAGGATTGCAAAACACCAATGAGCACTGCATGAGAACCCACCGCAAGTTTCCGAAGATCCTTATCTTGCTTCTTCAATGTGTGCCCCCGGATGCCGTTAACGTTGAGTCGGGCGACAACCATTGTGCCATCTTTACAGACCTACACTTTATCGAATGATGAACCAATTCGGATGGGGATGCCGAATGACCTTGAGCGCTTCACTCGTGCGGCGGAGTATTGCATCGTGTCTCTGACTGGGTATCTCTACTATGAGGAGATTTGCTTCAGTCAGATCATCAACAAGGACACCTGAATGGTGGATATAATTGGGCCGAATGATAGAATGAATGGTGGCGTGTCCAGTAATGCAGCAGTACCTCCAAAGCCCGACTCGATCGCGTCCTCTAGCTCAGATCTGTCCTTCTTCTTATCGCATACCATGTAGAATCGAGTGTCACGAGTTATTGACACAGCAAATCTCGTTGTTAGCTCATACAATCGAGCAACATACCTACATATAGCGCTCTCAGAATGACCGGCCGAGAGATCGACAACGGTTGATGATACACCTCCCCCTGCGTTGTGGTATCAGCTGAGAGGCCTACCGGTCACCACCTACCTGGCAGTCTGCGTTCTCCTCAGAAGCGAAGGATTCCATTCAGTACGGGGAACGATGGACCAACCGAAAGTACCTGGGGTGGGTCTAGCAGTATAACATACTGGCGCCATGACGGGGCTAGAGGCACTTACAGCATCTCGGCTTGCTACTGACAGGCCAGGGGTCGATACCGTCTATGAATTGGACTCCCGAGTAGACGCTTACGAACTTGGTAGGGCTCAACTTATCACAGACGACACCGTTTTTACCACAGTTCTCATCTGAGGATATAGGTAACCCTGCTCCGGGCAGTGCCGTATTATACCATTGCATATGTCCTTGGTGAGCTGTAATGAGTTGGGCGCGGCACAGGTCCTCACAGGTAACTGGTCCGATGCTAGGTCCGGCAAAGAGTGGGCACCAGCATCCTCTCTCAGGTGAGTGATGGGATACATCATGGATACAACTCTTCGCACTAACGGATCGCTATTGAGGAGGGATATAAGGGATGCCTGAGGAGAATACCCTTAGGAGTTTGTTTTTTGGAGGGTACTGCTCATCACTACTCTACAGATAATGTCATAGTCATAACCCATTCCGAGACACCATGAATACTACCAATTCGCTCTTATCATTGACAAGGACCAATGCGGCAGACTCAACCTGCACACAGCCCGAGGGAGAATTGCAGTCGATATCCGATATAGAGACGGGATAAGCGGATCTGACGCACGCCGATGTTCTATGAGTGACCTCTGCCCCCACATCACCTGACCAGTCTCCGCCACGCTGGATTGATAGACTTCATGCCTAGAATATACTCCGAAAGCCTCTTTGGGAGTGTAACAGTCTTATTACTACTCTGATCCATCAATACCTGTATCCAACAATTACCACTCAATTACGCATCACCACCACTAAAAGCTACCCTAATCACAACAGCTCCGGGAAACTCAGAGTCCCACTTCAAGTCAAACTTGCCAGAAGCGTCATAGACAATGGCTAGGTTATCCGGGGTAACGTTTTGAGGGGCATACCTATTCTAGGTCATCAAACCTTGAATAGGTGACCACCCTTACTGGATCAGCTCCACATCACCAAGAGCACCCTCCGACACGAGCTTTCGTGCCCTAACCGACTCCAAGAATATACGACACTTCCGACCAAGGCGACCTAGAGATAGAAAAAAAAATTATGATACCGTCAACTTGCTAGGGACAAAATGTTCCATTCAGGGGTCAAGCCGAGGCCTATGACTGTGTGCAGGGAGGCACAGGATGAGAGTACTATCGAACGAGCGAAGCTAATGGGGTTCTCACGCAGTTGCGAGTAAGTGAATGAGGAGGTGATGGCTGACCAAGAACTGCAGTCCGACGGCTTGAGAGAACCTCCTAGCTTCGACATATACCTACGCCACCATTATCCGTGGTTTCGTTAAGAGGCAAAGGCTATTGTGGAGGATACTACAAGAGTTGCATAAGGACCTCCCACACCTGCTTCCTCCACTCCTGCCCAGACTCCCCCTCTATCTGGTCCATTACCGCCATATCGGACTCTAGACCTGAACACCCAAGAGCCCTACTTCGTAGTGAGGTATTCGGGTGAGACCTACCTGCGAAGGCGTCGATCGTGGCTTTAGGATGGCAACATGGTGCAAGTACTGCTCCACGAACGGTCCAATCACCGTGTCCAGCATTAAGACACAACAGAGGGGCTATACCATTCACGGCAGCATCTGTACCATTACCACACAAGTGCTTAGCAATGAACAATACCTAGGGAGGAGGGTGCCATGCGGTAGATACACACAATACCACCTTAGGCTCCTTGATACCATCCTCTCTCATCTTCCTACACTGATAGTCTACTATATACCGTAAGTCAGTCGCAGTGATATCCGCTCTAACCTGAGCAATGTGATCAGAGGTATGCACCGAGTATAGTAAATGACAAAGATGGTTCACAAGCGGGGAAATACAGGTCCGAAGTTTTCGAAGATGATACCGAGTGGTACTCTTATTGTTTTTCCGACTCCACTCGACGCTGTGTCGGATTTATCGTCACAATCGTCATCATAGCAGGCTTGAGTAGCATCTTCACCATCATATCCACTAGTAATATTACGACAGTCTAATGCTAGGTGCCTATAGCAAAGGTAGTCACTCCTTCCACTCCCTACGGGGCTCATCACCTGCAGCCAGACATATCCGATATTATCCTCCCGAGCAATCCCTTCCCGGCTCCGAGCTCAAACAGCAAAGTATCCTCCCCAGGCTGGAATCTTTTGATAATAATCGAGACCAATGATTCTAGCTGGGGTAGATGAACAGTCAGCTTGCCATAGTTCTGCCTGAACCAATATGTCCTATTCCCCACAACCTGCGGTGAGGGCCTCGCCTACCGTGTGGGCTTACCAAGTTTGCCTGCCTGCCGAGCCAGTGATGTTATCGAAGACTTGGCGTACATCATCACTGTTAAAGCATGCAATAGTAGGTTCCATGAGGATATCATCAGAGCAGCAACGGTCGATGACCTCAAGATATGGTCTCAGACCGTCGGGAGTATAAACATGTCGGTTAGGCCCTATCGACCCTGTTCGAGGACGCTTCTGTGCATCTGATGTGGACGTAGGTTGGGTGGAGTTACTATCCACCGACGAACAACTCATATACTACTGGGCCTTGATCAACTACCACCAGTCAATGTTGCCTAAATCGAGTCCATTATTAGACAGTTTGCAATGTGAGCTACCCAACTAGTCAACACAAGAGCTACTATACCAGAGATACGAGAGGTAAACGATTCAACTATGACATAAGCTTCACCACGATGCTCACTTGGCTGTTCCTCTCTGCTGGTGCTGCTGAAGGGAATTTTTAATTCAGCGCTCGCCATGGAAATGTGCACAGTCGGGAGAGGTCGCGTGACGCGACCTACAGTAAGCATATGCATACGGTCCCAGCTATAACTTATCTCCCTCAATGACTCCTCCACACTATGATATGGAGTCGCCCAAATCAGCGTTGGACTTTCTTCTGTATTGCTGCCTAACAGCGGGTACCACTCTTATTGGTTCCTTTTCATTGGGTTTACTAGGGACTTTGAACGACAAGATATCAGGAGTAGTACTGTTATCCTGTGCTCTAGGTTTAACATTCTATTCAGGTATGTGTAGCAGTAGCCGCAGGTATGATGACTGGATGCAGTACAGTACTCATGTGCGAGGCCTACTCCACCAGTGCAAGCCTGCTTGTGATTATAGCTGGTGTGGCGCTTGGTGTGGGCTTGATGCTCATAGTAGATAGATTCTTCACTGCCAACCCTTTGGAGCATCTTGGGACATTAAAACGAGCCCGTGCTAGTCGAGCTGCAGTGGTATTATTGGGTATGATGGTCCACTCCCTAGGAGAGGGCCTCTGCCTCGGTTTGTCGTCAGCCTCGGACAAGTCCCACCTCGGTGGGCTCGTTTTCGGCTCTATAGCCATCCATAATATACCAGAAGGTGCTGCCCTATGTTTGGCATTCATCGCCAAGGGTATGAAGCCACTTGAGGGAGCAGTCTTTGCTCTCATTGCTAACCTCCCACAACCTATCTCAGCTCTACCAGCATATTTGCTCTCAAAACATGTACTATCGGTTACTCCCTCGTTAGTTGCAATGGGGTTGGCTGTCGCTGCGGGGTGTATGGGATATGCTGTAGTCATGGACATAGCTCCTGAGGCCTACCGCTTGCTGGGCAATGACCCTCTCAGAACTACAGCCCTAACAGGACTTTGCAGTGCTGTCGTTATCGCAGTAGACTTCTATGCTCACTTCGGTTGAATATAGTTCCTCATGAATAGCATCCCATTCATGTATCCTACATGTATCGAACCTGTAGACTGGGATTCCGGCTCCTATGGAGACTTGATGTGATGACATCTACACTAGTATAATTGCTTTAAATGTTGCTCTTAAGCCCGATGACAATTATTTACAAGCTAGTCGCGGCAAGGTATACTATGGCGTTGTGTTAGTTTGGCAATAGGTGCATAGCAGTGTCAGAGTTGGTGTTCGTGAGGTATAATGGGAGCAATATTTTCGATGGCGGGGTCCTTCCTGACTTCCTGTCTGGGATCTTTGACTGGCACATGCTGTGCTAAGGCATTGGGGCTCGGGACGTTGAGGCAGGATTCGGCACGGATAGGATATCTTATACTCAATCTCTACACCATAATACTGGCCCTCACTCTTGGATCATTATTTGGTAGTAATACCAACCTACAATGGTGGTTTGGCTACTTACCTGGAATAGGGGAATGTAAGAAGACTGATAATCGAGGTGAAGATGGTATCAGTGAGTGCTACAGTAACGCTATTATCCAGCGGTTAACATTCACCTATACTATTATGCATGTCACTATACTAGCAATGTGCACTTGTGGTGATGGAGTAGCACGGAAAGCCAACAATAGATTCTTCGTATTGAAGTTTGTGATGATACCAGTGGTAGCATTCGGCATGTGCTTCCTCCCTAATGATATGTTCCGATTCTTGTTTGTCACTCTGGTACCGGCAAGCTTCATCTATCTATTAATGCAACAGATCATGCTCATCGATCTGGCATACTCTTGGAACGAATCTTGGGTTCAGAATGCAGAGCTCGAGTACAGCAATAATGAGACGCTCAGTAAAGCCTGGTTCACGGCTATCATATTATCCTCGGTACTATGCTTAGTTTTCGGCATCTATTACTTCTACCTGGCTCTGGCACGATGCATGTGGTTTGTTGTAGTCCTCTTATTACAGATCGTCTGTATCATAGCCTCATTAACGGAGTATATCCCCCATGGGGCGCTGCTACCCTCGTCGGTCATATTCGCGTATTCTGCATGGCTATCAGCTCCTGATGCGGGTTTGCAAGGTGTCGTCGGATGGACACTCTACGCCTTTACTACGATATATGCCATGACCAAGGCTAAGGGCGATTCTTCAGTTGCTGGTAACAATTCCAGCCACCTCAGTGAATCATTGAGTAATGTTGATCAATCGGAACCACAAATACGTCAACGGGATCCCCCGGACAATGAAACAGCTAAGTCATTGTCCGTCCTCCATGTCTGTGGTACATTAATTGGGCTCTACTTAGCACCAGCTATATCAGGGGTCCTGCCCGACTGGCTCTGTTCATCAGCCGCGGTCACAGTCACTCTACTGTACGCATGGACTCTCGTAGCACCTCTCGTAGTAACAAGTAGGACTTTTTGATCACTAAGTCCTTGATGACGCCCTTGATCCACCGTATATGCCAGCATTCTCAATCAATACCGTTCGCCGAGTTTATCATAGTGGCGCCTCCGTGTGAGTCTGTCTCGTTGGGGCTTATCTATACTGTGGTCCATGACCGAGAATATATAGCTGTGTACTAGTATGGACCAGCGATCTTCAGCTCCGCCTGAAGCTACAATGAAGGGAGTAGCCAATAGGAAAAAGTGCTGGAAGGCTCGTGATGACTTCTTCCAGTGCCTCAATGATAATAACGAAGTGAGCTCTTATTCCCGCTCATCAGTAGCTGCCTCTCTATCAGGATGAGGAGAAGTGCCGAGAATCCAAGGAAGTTTTCCATTCGGATTGCCTACCGACTTGGTAAGATTTTGACAGAGAGTCAATCGTACAATTTGTGGGCATGGTGACTGGCTTGAGGTTAGTCTCCACTGGTTGAACTTACCTAATTCGCTTGTTGCCATATTCGAAGTATGTAGTGTGGGTGTTCATACAGTCGATAGACGGTGACTCAGTCTCTGGATGATCCCACGTCTTGTAAGCGGTATCTATCTCAGGGTCAAGCATTTCACATTACAGCGGCAGGTACGCTGACAACATGCATATTGAGGTGTTTAACGTTTCAGAAATGATTTAGAGCTCAGTGTTCGGGGATTCAATCTGTCTACTCTCAATACGTATAATATGGGGTTGATGGCCTGGTCTTCAATCATAGACCATGTTGAGTGATGAGAGCCAGCATGCTGTGGGTTACACTTTTCAGATTCCGAGACGTATGGTAACTTGGAGTCGACTCCATGATCAGGCTCTCATTCTGTCACCTGGGCTGGTCAATATCGTCCTCAACTTGCACTCTCTGCTATCAGCATGTTCGATAATATCGGGTTGGATATGCACACGAAGTAATAGATCGACGGATCATGGGGTTTTCGCAACTAGAGAATTACATGGCCGTCGCTACTGGATCCCGATTTGCTGGGTCTACAATTCTCAAGGTGGGTCTTAAACTACTTGCGACATTATTTCAAATCGGAGTCGACGCATGACCTCTGTAGAGGAGCGGTTCATCCAGTTTAATATTGGTTTTGCGACGACTGATCGAAATGCCTCCTCTGTTGGAGATGCGCCTTTTCTCACAAACATGACCCCCGCTGGCGAGCATAAGTAAAGCCCTTAGCCCTTTACACCAGTGTCACAGCTACGGCATCACTAGTGAACCATCGGTTGATGATCGTAAATAATCGCTAAACACAGGTAGTAGTCCGTATCACGTTAAGTGGATAAGGTTGTAGTGAAAGACACCCTTGAGTTACCTCTAGAAAGGCTCGGTCTTGAGCCAAAAACACCGCGAAATCTGCGGTGTCATATTAGCCGGATATTGAGCCCGCGGCGTAGGTTGCATGATATCTCACCAGGATGTATGTCTAGGAGTCGATATGAATGCGATCTCGACTTCGCCTTGAGGCCCAGGCGAGCGAAATGTCGATAAATGGTCCGTCACTCGGAGGTGACGTCGCGGACATTTCGATCTGTGCATCCAATGCCAAGCAGTGTTGCTTTGGCCACGTCTAGGATGACTCCTTACTCACCTTGAGAGCCACTTTCGACCCATACCAGTTTCATATCATAGCTAGTTCCGGGCCATGTGACCAGGTTCCAGGGCGTCGCATGAGACTGTACGCATGCGCAAGTCAGCTCACGTCACCTGCACGTGTGCATTTCGCTATCGTGGTTTTCATTATTCCCCTAGTGTTGATGGCTCGCCCTATTCTCATCGATGTTGGAATGGCCGAACAGCTTACAGCATTCGGGTTGCAGCAAGGTATCAAAAGCATACCATCTCGCTCGACGAGGAAGCGAAAAGCCAGAGCCAAGCTAGCTGCGAGAGTGAGAGATGAGCGCTTCAAAGCTGGACCATTTTGGTTCAAGCTGCTCATTTCTGAAGCAACCGCCGGCGTCATCATGGGTCACGGTGGCTCGACGCTCATCAGTCTGGAGAAAGAGACCTTGACGGCTATCAAGCTATCTCCCTATGGGTCATATTTCGCCAATTCTAACCTACGGGTGCTTATCGTAGCTGCTCCCAGTTTGGAGGCGATGAAGACTGTCGTTATGAAGATCGTCCACGACTACATACTGGCTGACACTGCCGTCCAGTCGGTTTACGTATGTCTTGGCAGTCCTACAGCTATAGAGCTAGCCCGAGCTGCTGACCCCAACATGTCAAGTGATGAACCTGTGTTGCAGCATGGAGAAGAAGCAGTTATAGAGGTTTCTATAGCAACTCATGGTGCTGATAGGAGTTTTACCTCCCTCGCTTGTGCGTCTATCGCTGTAGCTATACAAACTGATCGCTCACACTTGGCCAATACCGTAAGGCTCGTATATGACCCTTTGGCTATCCTTCGAGGAGATATTGATGCCATGGTGGATGCTCACTTCTGTAATATTGTTTTCGAGTGCAGCAACGCTTTACCACCAGCGTTGTTCACATGGCTTTCGAAGAACTGCCATGTGGAGGTCGGTATCGAACCAGTCCTTTCGGGTGAGAATGATACTCGTTTGGTCTGTATCCAGGGCACTTTGGATGGTGTCCATTCAGCACTACGCGCTATTGTACTCATGTCTTCTATTTGATTCCGACTCGATACATTTTTTCAACTTTTTTCAACTGCCGATGACCAAAGCATGCGACACTAGAAGAAGCGTGTTCTTTAAGTGATATAGTGGGCTTCCTGCCAGCTTATTTGTTATTATACGTCCGCGATTCCCGCCCCCCTGCGTCGTCGTCTTAATCTAAGATGATGAGTCGCTGGGTAACGTTTCTCGCGTGGAAATACGTCGTGGACTCGGCCACAGCTCCCACATTATGAATTGATTGGAATCATTGTCGGTACTCAACGGACCAAAGCGCCTGTTTCGGTTAACAACTCGTTGACTGATGATCTTGTTTGTTGCGTTAGTCGTTTAGAGTTCAGTCTTGTGATACTAGACTGGCGTCTCCTTAAGACCCCTATAGTTACCGTAGGGCAGAGATCAGCCCAGACAGTGACTTGAGTGACATTTAATGGGTGTGTTTCGCTGCGGGGAAACCCAGCTATCCAGCTCCGCCGTAATTGCAATAAACAACCTCAACAGACAGACGTAATTCATATTCGAACCTAACGAGTCGAAGGGATCGAGCGCTTCGAACACACGGCTGTAGTGAGGAATATGTGAATATTCTAAGCCTAATTAAGACAGGCAAAGGCAAAACCCGACCGGCAATATCCATTTCGCTGATGGTCATTCGTACTCATTTTCTCATCTTCCGAATTCCAGTAGTAGCTTTGCAGCAGATCAGAGTTTAAGTTTCCCCTGAGTGAGTGTGTCTCCCCGAATGTGTACAGATCTATCCTCGATACCAGTCTCTAGACCGCAATAGCGTGGTCTGCGTAAATAGACTCGTTATTCTTTGTAGTCCATGTGCTTATTCTCCATCGATGCTCACTCGTTTCCCAGTGATTCTATTTGCAACTTCAGCGCTTGCGGGAAGGGCTGGTCAGGAGCTGCTTACTATGGATGTGCCTTTGGACCACTTTTCACTTGTCGCCAAACAGCCAACTATCCCCTTACACTACTGGCTTGATACTGAGCATTACGATTCTGCTAAAGACCAGTGTGCTATTTTCTACATCATGGGTGGAGAGAGTCCGCTCCCTGAGTCGGGAGTGATCTATCCCTTCGTCTCGAAAAGGTTGGCTCGCGAACACAATGGTCTCGTCATTGAGAGTGAACACAGATTTTATGGAAGCTCGATACCACAATCCTACGAGGAGTCCTTACCGTATTTGTCGGTTGAGCAAAGTCTTATGGATCATGCTACAGTTCTGCGATATACTCTCGAAACGGTTGAGAATGCGAAGCGATGCCGTGTGATCGCTGTAGGTGGCAGCTATAGTGGTTTCTTGGCTCTTGCTTTCCGTCTGAGGTATCCTAAATTGGTATATGCTGCT